CGCGGCCCTAGGGAGCGAATTCATACAAATTTAACCTCTTTATGACGGACACAACGGGGACCAGGTGTCGATAATTTGCGATATGTATCATTTCCTGTCGACAGTTACACAAACATTGACATTTTAACATTCAGCGATACCAATACCAGAACATGTCAAAATCTTAGTTTTCAAAACTTACATTTACAAATGCAGATACAATACAGTGTAATCGAAAATACTGTGTAGACTTCAGGTGACGTCATCATAGTGACCACTCCAATACGGACACCTCTCTGATACGGACACTTCGCTCTGTCCCTTCGGTGTCCGTATTAGAGAGTTTCGATTGTACTCAGTTTCCGAATTCTCCACGCTTTTACATTGAAGGAATAGGCGATTTGCATGATGGCGTCATTTGGCAACAAGTTACCAGAGTCCTTTTCGTTTTTTTTTTTTTCTTTTCTTTTCTTTGTTTTTGTTTTATTTTTTTTGCGTTTTTTGTTTTGTTTTTGTTTTTGTTTTTTTTTTCTCGTGTTAATTGGCGCAATTGTCTTTTAAGGTCATTCCCCAGTATTGCATTGCACATCCCTACTGTGCATAATTTCACGCGTGATTAGCGCGCCTGCATTAAAAAATGGCGGCTTTTTCTTTGCGGCTGGACCTCTGGACCTCGCCATAGAAGTAAATCGTCGTTCTCTCGAAAACGAGTACGGTGACCTGTCATTTTTTTCTGTTGTGTTGAATCGAGTAATAAATTTCTCCATGTAAAATAAATATGGGCCAATTCTCAGTGTTGAGCAAGAAACAATCGTCGGAAACGTGAATTTAGCAAACAATCGTGACTATAATCATGGTGCTATTGTAAGGATCTATATGGTATAAACAAGGTGCTGTTCCTCCTAAACGAACATGGGGACCCCTCATTTTTATTTCCAAATTTAAGTTCCTGCAATATAAACAGTCAATAGGCAAAGTTTGACAAAAATCTCAGCGCAGGCTCTATTTCAGTGGAATGACCTTAAACCCCAGAGTGGTTTAAAAATTTGAATAATAAAGGAACAACGAAATGAATTCTGGTATTTGTAGTCAAATGACGATATCGCGCAAGTGTGCTATTCCTACGCCTCCAGGCCTCCCCCGGGTTTGGGGGTTTTGGGGAGGGCGGGGGAGACGTCGCACAACTGCTCTAGCGTCGGTCTCTAGAACAGTGGCGATGATATGCAAGGATCGTTTTTACTTACTGAATTGAATTATTTATCACACTTACATTCAACAATGTTGTTCCAGTTGATAGTTACATATTCATCGCGATCAGGTCTTGACTGTTCATGGTAAAACCCAAGTGCATGAGCTTCAAAAAGAAGACGTCGAACTATAGTTAAAACACCGGGCAGAAGAATAGAACAAAGAGGACTTTTAGAGTGTAATCAGTATTTTCTCTCACCAATTTCATGTGCTACATGGCCAGCACTCCAGCAATGTGGAGCGAGGGAAATATACTGCTTATCACCTGTCCGACCGACTTCCGAGAAACAGCTGCGATCAGATTGCAAAAAAAACATTCAAAAGTTAGAAAAATTCAAATTGCCTTTTTATAGTGTAATAGCCTAAAGAAGCTATATCAGTATAGCGAGTGGTTTAATGCAGCTGTATTAGTATCGTAAATAATGTAAAAAAGCTGTGTTAGTATCGTAAATAGTGTGAAGTAGTTGTGTAATTACTGTAAACTACGTAAAGTAGCTTTATAAGTATTGCAAGTAGTGAAACGTAGCTGTGTTTTCTAAGTTTTGTCAGTAGATGTATCGTAATGTCAGTTGTGTATTGAAATTAATGTAGGTAGCTGTATTTGTATAAAAATAAGAGTTTCTTATTAAAAAGAAGTCGAAACTGTTTAATTCTCTCACACTAGATACAGTTTTTACAGTTTTTTTTTATTATCATGCAGTTTATTTACAGGCATTAGTTACTGGTGTTACTGGCGTTAACAACTTACACTACCCGCGTACAGTGTAGGTTAATCGAGACGGGCATTGTAAGCAGAATTAAAATTTATGCTTGTTACATGCCTTCCGCCAATGAAGAAATGAATAAAGGCCTTCTCAGTCGTTCTTTCCTTGAATGTGATGCATGTGTCACTACTCCACTGCTTCATTCCATCATTAATTGCCTCTGAAGTAAGTGGATCGTCCTCTGACAAATTCAACAAAACTATGTTTAAGTTGACAATTATTTGGACTTGGTATACGACATAGTGATTTTTCTTTTTCTTTTCGAAAACAGCAATGTTTGATAAAGTTATCAGTATTCACAAAATAGACTCCATTAGACCAGATCGACTATTGCCTGAAGCAGGCGTGCAAACGGTTACATGCATGCACGAACGAAGGGAGTCGGAGCCATTTTGGCGAAAATAACTCCTGAGTGGTCCATAGGTAGCAGACCATATCATAAACAAAAGAAGGAACTTATATGAACTAATCAGATTGCTCCTCTACATCACTGAGCAGTACGCCGCGTGTAATAACATTTTGTGTATCCAGTTAATGGGAATATTTACTTAGCTGTTTCTCTATCGAAAATGGCACGATCCCGCTGGGCCAAAGATAATACTTTGAGGTTGCGCGGCCGACCGCGAAATTGACGTCCCCTCCTTGTTCGGCGGCTTCTCGTTGCGCTGGAGTAAACACCATATCACCTTCAAACAGTCTGATGGCTTCGATACTGATGATTTGCCCTAAATAATACGGTATGCCGTTAGTTGAGAGTTTGTTGATGACAAAGGATAAAGGATAACAATATTAATGCTTCGTTTTGTC